TCGCAGATTTGCCGAGAGTAATGGGTTTTGCATCGTCGAGAGAATTGTGTGGAGTGTCAGGAGACCCTGTCGAACGTGCTCAAGCGATGCACCGCTGCCGGCGACTGGAGCCCCACCCCCTTCAGTTGACGCCGGTCGGACAGGCACATTACGGCCAGGGGCAGCGGTTGCAGCCCCCCGCCCAGGTACCTGAACTACGAGTGTAAAAAGTTGCTTGGCAGATGTTTCTTCGAGCATCTTTCTTTATAGACAGAGTGGATTACACCTGATCCCGGCAGGTGGCCAAAATTAAAAGCATCGGAAACTAGGCGAGCTGTGTCTAGGTCCAAGGCACCCGCAATGATGCGTCTAGCGCCCAACATACTACCTTCCCCGCGCCTCGATGATCGCGAGGGATCACCCTCGGACATCGATTGCGGCCTCTCAATTGGACGCTCGACCATGTGGATCGTATGACCGTCTTCAACATGATACCTACATCATATAATTCTAGGTTGCTTTTCGCCCGAAGCACATACTCGTGGAGCCTATGCCCATCCGCCATTACGCGACCCCGATATATGAGTCTCTGCCGCTCCTACCAAGACAATGCTCATAAGGAGTGGCACTCTATGGGATGTCACCATCGGGACTGCTGTCAAGTTACATATCTTCGACTTTAAATTTGAGACCAAAACGCTCGGATCCACATGCAATTCGTGCGTTAACTGATCCATCGTGCGAACGCGGACGTGCTGCACGTCAGGAGGATGCCCCTCACTAGGCGCGCTATCGTCCCCTGAAACTGGGCGGTGCCTGCCAAGACCTGATTCCTCTTCTGCATCCGTGGATGGACGATCTGGGGACAACAACTCTACCTACGTGATAGTGGGACTACGCCCTCCAGCCGACCCACCGCTCGGACTCATGTTACATACGGTCCGTGGCCTCATCCCAGCGAAGATACTTATCAGCTGGGTCAGTCGTAGCGTGTAATGCGTGAAAGGAAAGCAGCAGTGGAGCCACCTTATAATCACGGGAATTCGTATAATTGAATCCTAGTCCGGAGGGATGAAGTCAAGATTTTTCTTCAAAGACGTGAGACGATGCTGCTCTCTGAAGGTACTGAAGCTACCAGTGCTGGTGGACTCTCACCGCCTGTTTCACCTTGTCGAATCGCAGCTAACACCGATTCTTCGTTTATATTAACTGATCAATTGTATTGAGTGTGTTTCGCTGGGTATTGTATTTCCGTCCACTTGGCCTTTCGTATCTCCCACTAGCCTGAGCTAAAGGAAGCAGAGTAAACTCCTCCCTCAAGGGGGAGGCTGAGCTCAGTTTCAGGCTCTGACCACGGTCGACCCCCCCCAGAAGTACGAAACAATTGCTAACGATACCGGGTGGTCCCGGGGGCGGTCACGACGCGTCCGCCCCAGTCCGGGGACGTCCGCGAGGGACGGCGTCGGCCAGGGGCTCGGATGGGACGGCGTCGGTGGTGTGGCGCGCGCGCGCGAAACGACGCCCGCGGGCGAAACGCGCGCGAAAAGCGGACTCAGTGCGCCGCCGCGGTCGTGATCGCGCGCTCGGCGGCCGAGGTGATCGTGTACGTCGCGCGTGGCGCGACGGCGGTGGTGCCGCCGACGACGGGCTGGTCCTCGCGGCCGTCGCCCGAGTCGAGCTTTCGGAGAACGCTCCTGCCGTTCGCGCGGTAGATGCGGACGGTGAAGCGGCGCGTGTCCGCGCCCGTGCGGTCGAAGAGGCACACCAGGACGACGGGGTCCCCGGGGCGGTACTCCTCGTTGTCGTGCGTCCGCGTCGCGCGGTCGTCCGCGACGACGTAGCCCTTCCCGCCGCTCCCGCGCTGCTCCATGACGCGCGCGAGCAAAAAGGCGTGCGTGCTGCCGCCGCCCTCGCGCTGCGGGCGCCAGTAGTCGCCCGTCTCCAGCGCCACGAAGTCGCCGACGTTCAGCGACTCCGCGAGCGTCCACCGACGGCCCCCAACTAAGGGCTGCCCCGCGGCGGCAACGACGACGGGCTGCCCGTAGAACCGGCCACGTTCGCGGCGCACCTTCGGCTGTGCGCGAAGAAGTAGAGAGTGCGCGCCATGGTCCAAAACCCATGATCAGCAGACCATGCAAACGACGCTATCGACACCGATGTCGATTTCGAGCGGCTGTATCTGGGCTGAAATGCGCCAATTGCGCATTTCAGGCGAGGCGCTGATTGGCTACGCAATGGTTCCAGCGCTTCGCTCCGCTGGAGGCGGCCAGGACCGTCCCCCGCGGGCGCGCCCCCGCGCCACCCACGTCCCAGGGGGGCCTGGGACACGTCCGGCCAGGCGCCGGGGCCGAAGACGTCAACCCTGAATTAAACGGAGTTTCAGGGGGGAGTCGACCGCGACCCTAGCCTTCAATTAAAGGTGCCAGAATGAAGGCCGACGGACCGCGTTTGGATGGCGCAGCCACCTCAGCGGGGACGGAGGAGGGTAGGGCAGGGCGGGTGCTTCATTTGTACGCGCCCTTCGTTTCCGCTCCCGCCCCGTGCTTGGTAAGCAGGGGGTGTTATGGCGGCTGCACCAGATGCTGCAGTGCCTTTGAGTGCCTACCTAGCACTGAAGAAGGAGCTAACAGCGCAGAATCTTGCCAGGGTTGACCTCCTTCAGTAATGCACACAAAGCTGAAGTCGAATTCTACCGCACATTCCATTTAATATGCCAAGTACTTTCAAGAGCAATACGTGGAAATACTTACCTGATGGAACCTGAAAAGGGAATTCCTCGTAGTCTGTATAGTAGTGGACTTGAAAAAGGGATCTATCTGAATTGAGTAGCTTCGTGATTCCCCATCATCCCCGTAATTTACATTACCCTGTCCCCTCTCTATCGCGACGTCACACTATGGAGATGACACTGCACTTCCCCGTAACGTTGACATCAACGTTCCTTAGTACCCTAGTTTGGGGTATCTTTCTCTAAGCGACTCCACGACACGAACGAACACGGCAAAGGTACACCGTCAGCGGCTCACAGCAGCTTCCGAACCCGTGTGGCCCGACGTAGAGCGTAAACACCGGAATGGATGCAGGAATTTCACCAGGCTTACTTAAGTATGTCAACATTGAAAAACAGTGACCGAAAAGGCGATTGAAGCACCAGCGTCACACTATGATGAGCGTCTCGGGATTGGCTCTTGCCTCGATGACCCTCGGGGTCGTGGCTCTCCGCCCCACCAGCAAGCACGGACGCATGTAACGTTCTGCGCCAGAGCACTTCGCGTGTTGCACGATCATTGGATATAGGTATTATGCAAGACCACCCGCGGCAGCTACTGTGGACGCGGCGCACCTCAGCGTGATAGCATCAAGAAAAATAGCTGTATGTTCTGCATCATCTTAGGCTAACGCAGACATGACCGAGGCAGGTGTGGAAAATTGGGAGACCAAATATCGGGTTTTAACTCCGGTGACACTTGACAGCAAGAATGAGGAGTACACACGATTCGACAAGTACAAGTCCAAATATATGGGGCGATATAATAGCGTGGACCAATCCAAGACAGACATGAGTTACGCTGAATTTGGGGCATTGGTGACAGCACAAGAATACTCTTTCAAGAACGGCGACATCTTGACTGGCACGGTTGTGCAATATGATGGTCCACAGAAGGCCATGGTGGAGGTCGGTGCGAAGACAGCGGCCGTATTGCCGCTGCGTGAGGCAACGATTGCACCATTGGGCGATGGCGAAACGATCGCAACCTTTGTAGATGTTGGTGAACAGTATGAGTTTCAGATCGTATCGGATTCCCGTGATGACGGGCAAGTGACCGTTTCTATCAAGAAGATCATGTATGCCAAGGCATGGGAAACACTCTCAGAGTGGTATGCAGAAGACCCTGTCTTTGAGGCAGAGATCGTCCAGGTGAATCGCGGAGGGGCAATTGTTCTTGTCGAGGGGCTTCGCGCCTTTCTTCCTGGCTCCCACATCATGGGCAGTGGTGGTGCCTCCGAGGCTATGATTGGTAAAAAGATCCCACTAAAGTTCCTCGAAGTGAACCAGGAAGCCAACAAGCTTGTCGTCAGTAATCGCCGTGCAGTAATTGAACACTCGATGGCCTCGATCAAGCGCGGAGACGTGTACGATGGTACTGTAACTGCCGTTAAACCGTACGGCGCCTTCGTTGAAATCATGGGGATGTCCGGCCTTCTCCACATCTCGCAGATCTCATACGATCGCGTCGAAGACCTGGATGCAACGCTTGCATGTGGCATGGCCATTAAGTGCATGGTCATAGACCATGACAAGGCAGCAGGTCGTATTGCGCTCTCAACCAAGACCCTTGAACCTGAACCCGGAGATATGCTTCGTGACCCGAATCGCGTAATTTCCCAAGCGTTTATTATCTCTCTAATTTCACCATCTCCGATTTCGCCTGAGCTGCGTCCAACGCAGGTATTTTCTCTCGCAGAGGAGACAGCCGCAAAATATCACGCATCGGCCAGCGCCCGAGAGTATAATACATTACCCTTGTCGAGTGTTTGTCATGCAGGCTCGAGTCGAAGCCGAGAAAATTGCTCGTGAGCAGGCTGCGAAGGAGATGGTTCTTGGCCTTGGTGACTCACTGGGCTCCCTTGAAAGCGTGCTCGACCCTTCGGAGCCGCAACTTGATCCTGATTCCGAGTGAAACTAGCCGGTGCCAATCGAGCATCCGTATTGGTGTAGCATTGTGTCTAAATGGCCAGCTTCGTTCAGCCAGCTTCGAACAAGTAAAAGTAAGAGGATTGCGATGTTGCTTTCGCTAGCCACAAGATTCATGTTTATTCGAGACACACAACATCGATTCGAGACACACAACATCTTCCGGTCGGCAGTGCAGGCAGGTCGGGCACCCCACCACTACTAGCGGCCACTACCCGGGGTATCGGGGGCAGCGTGCCCGTGGGCCATGGCCTAAAAAAAAAATAAGCTACTACCTCCGAGGTATCCTAATCGCGATAAACAGCCACCTGCTACCATGATGAACGGCGGCTATCGCCCTCAGAACGCGAGTGTAATTATAGTGCGCTTGGCGATAAGCCAGCTACTAGGCTGCTACTAGGGAGCCTGCATTCCGCTCCTTGGGCTTTGCTACCCTAACTCCGCTCCCTAACTCGGGACTATGCTATCCTCCCTATGCTGGGGCGCTCATACTGGCCTGTGCTGGCTATGCTAAGTCTGCCTTATGCTGGCTATGCTGGGTTGAATACCAGCATACTCGGGTTCTAACAGGGTACAGAGGGGCGCACCCGCCAGCCCGCTCCGCCAGCCCTTCCCCCGGGTCGACCGTAGTCTAACGCGCCTACAGCGGCATGGGCGCGTCTGCGTGCACACGCTGCGAGGAGTGGCGGTACGCGACTTGCGGACTGTCGAGCGGCGGGTACCTGGTGGCATCTTCGGGAGCGACTGCGGAGACGACCTGCCCCGCCGGACGGTATTCTGGCACGGGCGCGAGCCACTGCGATTTCTGTCCCGTCGGCATGACCAACAAAGCTGGAGCCAGGCTGGATGGGAGGAATGTGAGCCGCAGCAGTTTTGGAACTGAACAACAGTGAGAGGGACTGTACAATTGATTGAGAGCCAATATTGGCTGAGACCTGATGATTCGCAGAGAGTAATGCAGAGAGTGATGAATAGCATTTGGCTAATGGCGTGAGATCCCTTGATAAATACGCAAACAAAAAGCTGCAAGAGAAATCCAGGTATTGACTCGATCGCGTTGGAGCCCAGGTTGCAAGATGAGGCAAGGCCTGGGACCGCAATATTGACCGGTGACTGAGGTCTCGACGTCCGACTTTGCTAGATACAGGCCTCCAATTCCAGGGATACGCCTATATAGAATCCGTGATTGGCATCGCTTCAAAACGCCAGCTTGGTCCCACGGTGAGAGCCCAGGCAAACTTCTGTTTCAGGGTCTGGAAAAAAGTTTTTCAATTGGGACGTCGCAACGTTTGCACCAGGCGACCGAGATGCGAGGGTCTAGGTAATTGGCTTTGGAAGTGCCAAGAGAGACTTCTTTGTTCTCTTCCTTATTGCGAAGGTCAATTTCAAGCTTCTTAATTTTCTCGGTCCAGATATCAATGCGTCTGGAGACATCCTTCTCATCAGGTAGCTTCGAAAAACGGTGAGCTTCAGCCTGTTTTGACTTATTTGCTTCACGTTTTTTTATCGTAGCGGCCTCATACGCAGCGGTTGCAGCAATCTTCTGCTCTTGAGTCCTAGCGTCATTCTTTAGCTTTTTGGCAGCGTCGACATCAAGCTGAGCTTGCTTGGTAGGATCTCGACCGGAATGAAGTTGCACGTTGTCTTTGCCAGCCTTCAATGTTGTGCGCATGTTCTGCAGTTCGCGCCGCTGATCCTTTAACTGCTCGAGCTTTTCAGCTTGTGCTTCAAGGCCTGTAGCTGCAGCAGCCGAGACGGTGCGCTGGTGATTGCAGAGAATTGCAACGATACGATTTGCTTCATTGTACGCAATGAGCTTGTCGCCAATTGATCTCATTTCGATAACATGCTCGGCATCTGGTAATTGGTTTTGGAGGGTCTCCGACGCGTTGTATGTCCGGAAAACCTTGGCGGTGAGTCCTGGCATGATTGATGAGAGATGCGCATTTAGTGAAGTCGGCTCGATGAGCTCGAAGACCTGCTCGTTCTTTTTTTTGGACCGGCACATTTCTCGAATGTTATCATAGGCCTGTTGGCCATGTTCATCGAAACCAGCAAAATCGATTGACTGTTTGAATAGAATCGAATCCTTGCCTAGGAATTCAAGGTCGACATCTTTCCCAGTTTTATGAAATGTGAAGTGTTCGACGCGAAGGCTGCAGCAGCCAACGGTGTCTGCCTCTTCTTCAGACTTTTCACCGCCAACACGGAGAGCAAGAGTGTCAATCAGCCACATAGTTGTGGCCTGCTGTTTAAGGTGTCGGTCTTTAGACTTGAGATTCTTGTGGTAGTCATGGCGCACGCGTTCAATGCAGCCTTTTAATTGCATCGCTTTTTGGAATTTTTTAAAGTCAGACTTTCCCTTGAGCGAGGAATTCGCTGCGAGCATGACATATTTATTGCTCTGCATCACGTTTTCATGCCAGGTTGAAAGCCAAGTCACCGTGTCATCATGCTTAATCTCACCCCAACTTCGGCCCAGCTCAAGGCAAATAGGCGGCGGTCGAGACGCACCGCAGTTGATTGATACTTGATCCGGCTCCACGCGTAACTTAACGACGCCTGTTTTCGGGTGCTTACCACGACCCCGGAATAGCGACGGTGGTTCCATGCGAAAATTCCCAACTTTCTCTAGATGATCATCCAGGATCGCATAGCCGCTCCGCAGCTGGCAATCATCTCGCAGCTCTCGCGCCACAACTTTTTCAGCATCAGATGCCGCTCGTTTCACAAATTTAAGACGATCCAGGTGTTTGCTAATGTCGGAGAAGTCGCATTTATCAAAGGACTTGATCGCGTGGCTTTTGCCGAGTACTTTGTGCCAGTCGTCCCAGAAGTTCCTCTGAAATATCTCTCGTTGCCCGCCCGACACCTGCCACACAGGGTAACTTGAGACGTATTTAGAAAAGTGATACCCTGCGCTACACGTTTAGCTGCGGTCCGTCTTCAGGCATTGCTGCATAAAAAGTTGCGAGTTCTTCTTGGTATGGCGTTAGCGAGATTGGCACGCCATCGTAGAGCACCGCAACACCGTGTGGTTTGTATTGCGGTTCGAAGGTCATGCCACAGTGCTCTAGTGTCTGCCAGGCCTTACCTTCCGGCGGATCCGGTGAATTCCACCATTCGAACGCAGCAATCCCCTGCTCTACGCGTTGGACACGCATGAGCTCTTTTGGCTTGATCACTTTCTTATTTCCCGCTGATTCGTTGTGTCCACTGCGCAGATTACCAGCGCTCTTCATTTTCTTGCGTTTCATCGCAGATATCTCCCCGTCAGAACCGGAGTCATGGCAAGACGCTCTACGCATCTTCTTTCTTGTTCCCTTCCCCTTGTCCGAAATCTGCACCACGCCTTCAGCTCGATTCCTCACAACAGTTTGGTGGTTCAACCGTGACAGGGGTAGGTCGTCGCTGCTGTCAGACATCGCGCCCACAGGGCTCTTGACTGTATAGGTAATCTTCGATTAGCCAGTAGCAAGGCCTGGAATAGCGCCCCAAGGAGCGAGAGAGAATGAGCTGCTATTTATTATTTCCGTCCACTTGGCCTTTCGTATCTCCCACTAGCCATCAAGCCTGTTGATGCTGTCAATGGCGCGGTCAGCCATGACATTAGTCAGGGCCTCACCAATGCTTTCGCCTATCATGGCATATAAGGCTGCCGATCCGGCTCCTTGGGCACGCAAGAATTCATCATGATAGTCGGCCATGGAGCTGGGCGACAGGGAGCTGGGCGACAGCCCCCCCCGCCAGTGCTCGTCGGGTTGGGTGACCCGTATAAAGGCCCCCGAGTGGTGGAGGCGGGCCTCCAACCGTTCATCCCGGATGCACTGGCAGTACCCCGGTCCATTCATACTAGCATACTCGGATTCTAACAGCTTAGTCAATTCCAAACTCCAAGCTGGACTTAGCGGCTCCATCATCTCTATTCCCTACCTTTGGTATGTGCGATGATAACCTTTAAGAGGAAACAAATTAATATTGGCACATTATGACTTTCGCCCGCGGTGAGCGAGCATGGACTCAGGTGAAGAGTAGTGGATCGTCACCATCGCCGCGATCTGGTGCAGCATCCGTTATCGTTGGTTCACACATGTACATATTCGGTGGCTATGGTGGTGGGTAATTGATCACTCTCCAGACATGACGGCGATCTAGGTGGCGGGCGCTTGGATGACTTCCACTGTTTTGATCTCGACAATACTATATGGAGCCGAGTTGAACCCTCGAGTGGTTCTTGCTCATCAGTGCATGGGACCTTACCAATGCTAAGGGTTAGATGTGTGCAGGTTTCACACCAGGTATGCGCGAGAACAATGGCCTTATAGAGTTCCAAGGAAAATTGTACCTCTTTGGAGGTAGGTTTGTTAATTTTGCGCTCGCTAACTAAAAGTGTACTCAGGCTACAATGGTCAGCAGTGGCTAAATGACCTGTTCAGCTTTGATCTCGGCACAAAGGAATGGCATAGTGTTGACCAATCAGGTCGCACCCCAACTATCCAAAAGAATCATGTGGAATTCGAAAATCCTCAGGTCAGCCACCTGCTTCAAGATTTGGATACGTATCTGTCGTCCACAACAACTTTTTTATTGTCTTTGGCGGCACGTAATTGCTGCGCTTTGCAAATCACGCCCGTGATCCGGAGTTCACTGCCCGACAGGCTATGATGGTTCTACTTGGCTGAATGATATGCATGAATACAATTTTGAAACTTGGAGTTGGGGTGCCGTCCACGCCACTGGCAAGTTTCAGCATCACTAGAACGGATCCCCGCAGTTCCAAGCATTCAGGCCAAATTCCGTCAATCCGCTCGTGTCCTTCATGGTGCAAAGAAGGAGACTCCGTCTATGTGTTTGGTGGTTATGACGGTGATGATGCTAATCAAAGGAGTCAAATCACCCCGGATTTCACAGGAGTTCAACGGATGAATGACCTTTTTGCGTGTAATCTAGATACACACACGTGATTCAAATACCTCGACCCTAGTCGACATGGCATGTCGTAGGTGGTGCCAACTTGTCTGCGGTGGTGCTGTTGTCACTTGCGTCCATGATTATTGTTTTGTTTCTTCACATAAGATGCACCTGACAGGTCCCAAGCCCTCGATATTTCCACGCCTGTGCAATATATGGCGGTCGCATGATAACCTTTGGTAATCCAATGTTGAACCCAACACCTTTCTCACCTAAACGTAGGGGGGTACAATGGTGCGGAGCGCTTGAACGACATGCATGAATATTCCTTTGCGACGTCACTTTGGACACAGCTTGATGTATCGGTGGGCGATGTTGATTGACGGCGTTGCCCAGCTAATGAGATTGAAACACAATTCAGATTCCAAACAATCCGTAGGTACCATCCGGTCGTTCGTCGCTAATTTCCCAGGTGTATTGTAATTCTCTCTTTATATTTGGTGGTTTGAAGCTGCGAGGCTCCCCCCGCCTATTATGCAAATCTGTTGATTGCAGGGTACAATGGTGCCAATGTGTTGAATGATTTTTATGAATTTCGCTTTGAGCCTGTTCTAATACCGCCACCTACGCTGGTAAACCCTTGCATACATGATAGACTGCAAATATGAGAGTAGCAACCTAGGTCGATGATATGAAGCGCCTCATCAACAATGAGGACCTGAGCGATATTATCTTCGTAGTGGAGGGTCGAAATGTATATGCATCAAAAGCGCCCATAGCTGGGCCCCTGTGCTATTTTAGAGGGAACTATATATCGCCAGGTGCATCTCGCGGCTCGCTCAGAACATTTCTGCGCAATGCTCTACGGTGGAATGCGCGAGAGTTTATGTGTTAAGATTGAGGTAAAGGATGTGAGCTACGATGTCTTTCTAGCCATGCTTGAATTTCTATATACCGACAGTGTGTCAGACATTTCACCGTCCTCGCGCAGCGTCCACGTCCATTGACTCTGCATTTGGGGACACTCCTGTGGTATCTTGTAGGAGTATCGCGATACCATTGATGGTGGCCTCTGAACAGTACCTATTGGACAGACTAAAAAGTCTGTGCCAAGACCAGATCCGGAAATCAATTTCTGCCACATGCGCAGCGTTTGCTACAAATGCAGATCATCGCAAGACGCCGCCTTTTCTTAGGTTGAAAATGTAGTGTCTATCTTTCTTGCGGCAAAACGCCATTCCGCAGATGTTCTAAAGGATATTTGTTTGGCATACATCCTTGAGCACCTCGAGGCCGTCAAACTTGAGCGTGGCTTCCAGGAGCTGAAACAAGAGCCAGACCTTCTCATGGAGATAATACTCGCTTCGTCTAAGTAGAGGCAGGAGGCTCGGTCGACCAGCGCGATCAGCCAATCAATATTGATTACTGAATCCCACTGCGATCCAATGCTCTCCAACGCGACTCATCGCTCTCTTGTACGATCCACCGATCTGGCTCACTCCCACGCGCCCGGGCCGGTGGCTCACTCCGGGGCACTGCGGGGCCAATCCTACTACAGAATCACTGCGAAGAATGTCCCGAATATATCGGCTAGCATAGCCAAGCCTGAACATACCTAGTCCCGCATATGCTCGATTCTAGCATAGCCGAGGCTGGCGGTATAGCCACGGAAGCTCGTTAAAGAACATAACGAACCGTGGTGAGGGGCGGGATGAGGAACAATGGTGAGGAACAATGGTGAGGACCAGTGGTGAGGCGCACCTTCGGATAGCCTGTTCTAGCCCCCGTACGGGCCACCAAGTCGGAAACTTCGCGTTGCACCTGAGAGGCCTCGACACCACCTTTGCGCCCCCGGCCATTAATTAAGACCGGCCTCCTATCGTGGCGAAGCACGACAAGTGGCAACGACAAGTTTAGCCGGCTAGACTCCAAACAGCGCCTGAGCGACCCTGAGGCTAGACCGCTCCGCTGGGCCATGATCATGGTGGTGGTCCTCTCCCAGCTCGCCGATTCCCTGGGGCCCGGGGCGGCGCGCAGGGGCGGCGTGGATTAGTTTTCAAGCCCACTAACATATCCCGCCGCGGCCGGCGGGATATGTTAAACGCCGCTCCAACTTGGGCTCAGGCTAAAGCCTCACACCGTTGACCTTGCATCGCTCCTTATGCCCCCTTTTGGTCGGCGGCGTTGCTGAAACAGCCCGCCAGCGGAAGTTTCCCCCTACCCAGCCGACCCTACTTGAGGGAGAGGGAGTTTAGATAGTAAATTAGGGTGGGCCCTAGGATCGGGGTCCGCAGCCGTGAATTCCGTCGGAAGCGGCGTTGGCACCGGCTTCGAGTCCGCGTACCCCGTCGACTTCACGAGTGCCTCCGCGAATGCCTGCTGGTGCACCTTGAGCGTGCCCCGCGCCAGGTCGTGCTCGATGTGGAGCCCGAGGAAGTCGCACGCCGTCGCCGTTGCAAAAATGGTTGTCTCTGCGGACTAGGAACTATACCAACAATACCATCCCCCCAAAAATTCGACACGTCCTCGTGTCCTCGTGACAACATCTCAGGGGCAGCACGAGTATGTTCTGTGACATGCCACGTACGTCGGAGCTCTTACGTACACCCTAACTAGCGCGGGCGATCAACCTGGATGACACCAAGGCAGCCCTCGCTAGATGTGAGATAAGAAAGAGAGAAAAGATACGGCGACGCGTATCTGTAGGGTAAAGATATAATGAGATAAATAGGGCGGATACATGCACTGCAATGCCAGCTTCAAACTAAGCTAAAGGTAGATACTGAAGGCGGAAATCCCGCCACAACGTTGGGGGAACCCCTCTGTAATGGCCCAGCGCGCAAGACGACATTGAGCTCTTTTAGATGCAACAAGAACCATAGGAATCGGTGGCCGTGGGGCCGAGAACGAGACCTACAAAGTTGTGGTTTGTATGGCCATTTCATCGATTTTTAACATTCCTCAGCTTATATCTCGGCTCGGGCTTGGATCAAGATTGTTGCATTTTAACCTTCCTCAGCCACAGATCTAGAGCGTATTATTGATTCGGAATGGGAACTTGCGGCTCGTCGTTGACGCCGGACGAAAAACAAGCTTTATCAAAATCGCGCAGCATCGAAGAGAAGAATGCAAATGATCATGCCAGAGATGAAATGACCATCAAATTGCTTTTGTTGGGAGCTGGCGAGTCTGGTAAAAGCACGATATTTAAACAGATGAAGTTGTTGTATGGGAAAGGATTCAGCGACGACGATCGTCGGGATTGGATACCAAAAATACACATGAATGCTATATCTGCTATGAGAGACTTGTGTTCGGCAGTCACCCGGCTTGGCTTGGAGCAAAAAGTATTGGACCAAACAGCATTTGCGCACATGCTCGATATCACAGAAAGGACAGAATTGACATCCGAGATATCAGGGCCCATCAAATCATTGTGGTCCGATCCAGGAATTCTTGAAGTTTGGGATCGCCGCAGCGAGTTCCAAGTCATCGAAAGTAATGAGCTCTACTTTAGAAAGATTGAACAGATCTCAGCACGCGGATACCTCCCAACTGATGAAGATATACTTGCGTCACGAGTACGGACCTGCGGCATCGTCGAAGAGACGTATGTCATCGAAAACGTCGAATTCGTCATCATAGATGTCGGCGGACAACGAAATGAACGCAAAAAGTGGATTCACTGTTTTGATAACGTAAACGCTGTGATCTTCGTCGCGGCACTATCTGAGTATGACCAAATGATGTTTGAGGACGAGACCCAGAACCGGATGTTGGACACGTTGCTGCTCTTTGAGTCCATCTGCAATTCTAGGTGGTTTCAAAAAACCGCTATGATTCTATTTTTGAACAAGCGAGATCTGTTTGCCAAAAAAATAATGAAAAAGGCCCTAACCGAAGTCAGCGAATGGCACGACTACAACGGGAAATCGTGCGACTATGACGAAGGTGTCAACTTTTTCCTGCAGAAATTTCTTGAGAAAAACCAGCAAAAAAACAAGGACATATACACGCACGTCACCTGTGCGACTGATACCGAGAATGTTAAAGTAGTATTCAATGCATCAAAGGATATCATACTCAAATTCAACTTGGAAGCATCGGGGTTCATGTGAGCCTCAACCGGGCTAGTCCCACAATCCACAGTGAACAATTGTCCGACGTAATGTGGCAGCCGCCGGACCTGTTATTGCTGCGTGGGCCCTGGCCTTGATCTGATCTGGACTTCTGGTGGATTGTTCGCTGCGCAATTCTTGCTTGCATTGCGACTAGAGACTCGACCTGAGTGGAGCCCCCTCCGAGGAGAGCCTGCGCCCTGGTACTTTGCTAGGCACTTAAGCCACACCAGCCGCCCTAGCCATATGGCGGCCCCCCTTGTGTGAGTAGCTCAGGCGAGCGCCACATAGGCCAACAGGCCCGGCGAGGGGGTGAGGCGCGGGGGGCAGTGCAGTGACCAAAACTCAGGTTCTGATAGCCTGTCGCCGCCTTTGAATATATTGATGTGCGGGGTCCCTTTTTAGCCGTCCAGTGCGCGCACCGACGGCCTTTCAGGCCCGCAGCAGAGAACCTGGCCCAGTGCGACGTGTTGGCGCCTCGTGAGGTAGGAGTATGGTCAACATTTTTGTTAAACTTCAGCAATTTTTAAAACAGGTTAAGGGCAGTCTAAGTGGGTGCTAAAGGAGGCTAGGGGGGTTCGGCCGGGGGGGTGTTGACCTTTGGCGCGACAAGATCGCAAAATGTTCAAGCTCTTCCTTTCCCTCTCCGTCATTGCGCCCGCGGCTGCATTTCTGTCGACGTCGCATACCTTCGGTTCGCTGACTCAGGTTATATTTATTCAGCTTACACCTAAAAACCTGTACTGATACTTAGGTCTCAGAGACCAAAGATGATCTCGCTGTTCTCGCAGGCGAGCTCAATCCAGTGGTTGGCTTTTGGTGGGACCCCCCAGCCCCCCCCCCCTCCCACTCCTTGCCCCCCGGGCCCTCCCCGCCTGCCCGTCAACCCCGTGGCAATCGCTGGCACGCGTGTTGATGACGACGTTTCGCCAATTCGCCAAACACAATATGCTTCTTCATGGAGAAGGCGCATTGCTTTCAGGGATCCCCTTGGCTGCTTGAACCTCGACTTCTGGCAGCTTGGGACCGAAGGCACGATCGGTTACCTCCGCCATGCGGAGATAAAACATGGTCGCGTCGCGATGGCTGGCTTCCTT